CCTGGTTTTTAAACTCTGGAGTCCATTGAGCTGGATTGCCTCACTTCTGGTTTTTCTTCGTAGTGGAGTGTATATAGGGTCGAGTTCTATGTGTTTATTAATGGCTTTCTTCATGCAGTGCCAGGCTTCTAGGAATTATGAACATTTAGAGAGGCAAAAATTGATTTGGGATAGTCAGTATGGTTTTGCGCAAGGGAAATTGTGTCTCACAAACTTGATTTGAGTTTCTTGAGGAAGATACCAAAACGGTTGATAATGGCAGAGCAGTAGACATTGTTTAGATTTTAGTAAAAGCTTCGACAAGGTTCCGCATGGTAGACTAATTAGTAAAGTTAGGTCACATGGGATTCAGGGTGAGCTTGCCAATTGGATACACAACTGGCTTAACAGCAGGAGACAGAAAGTAATGGTGAGAGGGTCTGTGATCAGCGGAGTTCTACAGGCATCAGTTCTGGGTCCTCTTTTGTTGTCATTTATATAAATGATATGAATAAGAATATAGAAGGCATAGTTAGTAAGTTTGCAGATAACATCAAAACTAGTGGCATAGTAGACAGTGAAGAAGGTATTCTAAGATTACAGAGGAATGTTGATCAAATGGGTCAATGGGCTGAAAAATGGCAGATGGAGTTCAATTTAGATAAATGCAAGGTATTGCATTTTGGTACAACAATAAAGGGTGGGGCGTATACAAGTTATAGTAGGCCCTTGGGTAGCATCATAGAACTGAGGGACCGAGGGGTGTAGATATACAATTCTTTGAAGTTTGTGTAACATGTAGACAGGGTAGTTAAAAGGTGTTTGGCACGCTTGCCTTCATTGCTCTGTCCTTTGAGTATAGGAGTTGTATGTTGAGGTTGTACAGGACATTGGTGAGTCCTCTTCTGGAATAATGTGTCCAGTTCTGGTCGTCCAGTTATAGGAAGGATATTATCAAGCTGGAGCGGGTTATTAGAGAATTACTGGTATGTTGCCAGGTAATGGAAAGTTCGAGTTATGAAGATAGGCTGGATAGGCTGGGAAATTTTTTAACTGGAGTGTAGGAGTTTGAGAGATGACTTGATAGAAGCTCATAAAATAAAGAGAGGTATAGATAGAATTAACGGTAGTTGTCTTTTCCCTAAGGTGGGGGGATTTCAAGACTAGGGGGCACATTTTCAAGGTGATAGATTTAAAAAATACATGTGGCAATTTTTTTACACAATGAGTGGTTGCGTGTGGAATGAACTTCTTCAGGAAGTGGTGCTTGCGGAGTACAATTACAATGTTTAAAAGACATTTGGATAATTACATGAATAGGAAATGTTTGGAGGGATATGGGCCAGGAGTAGGGAGGTGGGACTGTTTTAGTTTGGAATTATGTTCGGCAAGGACTGGTTGGACTGAAGGGTCTGTTTCCGTGCTGTGTTATTCTATCAAAAGGTGCACTGCAGCAACTCACTAAGGCTCCCTCAACTGTACCTTCCAAACCTGTGACTTCTACAACCTAAAAAGACAAGGGCAGAAGATGAATGGGAACATCCCTACTTACAAGTTCCCCTTCAAGTTAGTCACCACTCTGATTGGAACTATATCACTATTCCTTCACAGTTACGGAGTTGAATTCCCAGATATCCCATCCTAAAAATACCTTAGAATTATCTGCACCAAAGGGACTGCAGTAGTTAAAGAAGGTGGCTTATCACCACCCTTCTGAGGGCAATTAAGGATAGTCTATTAAGTTTTCTTCTCTTTGTTCTGAGGAAGGGTCATCCGACCCGAAATGTTATCTCTGTTTTTCTCTTCACAGATGCTGCCAGACCTGCTGAGCTTTTCCAGCAATTTTGTTTTTGTTCCTGATTTACAGAATCTGCAGTTCTTTCGTTTTTTTATATAGTCTATTAATTTGCCTTGCAGTGATGTTCACATTTTACACTATATATACTAAATTGAATAAGGAAAGTTCCATGAAATGTCATTATTTTACATTAATATAGCAGAATTAGAATATAGCAGTTTCTGTTTAGAAACGTTTATTACCTTCCACATTTGATTTTGGGAATACTGTTCAATGTATTTCAGAATGCAGAGTATGAAGCATTGATATATATTAAATTAGTAACAACTTCAAACAACAAATTGCATTTGTATAGCACCTTTATCATAATCAAACATCTCAATGTGCTTCACAAGAATATTTTAAAACAAAGTGTAACACTGAATACAGTACAGCCAAAAGCTTTTAATGAGTGTTTTAAAGTTGAAGGGAGAGGTAAAGAGGTAGAATGGTTTGAGGAGAGAATTTCAGACCATAAGCTCAAGGCAGCTGGAAACACACCAACCAAATGAAGCAATTAAAATCAGGGACATTCAAAAGACCAGAATTAGATGAACACAATTATCTTTGAAGATTATGGGTTAGAGAAGACTATAGCAATAGGTAAGTGCAAGATCACAGAGCAATTTCAAAACATTGAAGAGAATTTTATAATTGAGGGATTTTGTTCTCCAACTTCCATTGGTTTTCAGTCAAGCAATGTCAGTGAAAGAACATGACTTGATGTAATTACGAACACTGGCAGTAGAGTTTTGCATAACTGCAGGTTTCCAATTGGTACAATGTGGAAGGTTGGCTAAGAGTTCATTACTAGAGGTAACAAATGCATGGATGAGGGGTTCAGTAGCAAGTGAATAGAGGCAGGGGTTGAGTTGGGCACTGTGAGGTGGGAATATGTAGTCTTGTTGAGGTGCAGATTTGTGGTTGGAAGCTCAGCTCATGGTCAAATATGGCTCACAGTCTGATTCAGCTTCAGATAGTTGGCTCAGAGGGTCAAACAGCGAAACAAGAGTGGAAGGAAATAAGAAGGAATAAGAAGAAGCCATGGAAGCTGAGATTAGAGTGCTCTTGCAGGAAATTTCCTTAGGATCTTTCAGGATAAATCTAAAGTAAACAGTGAATCTTCCATTAAAACAATAATAAACATTTTTTGATAATTTTGGGGTAATATCTCATTCCAACAATTATTTTCTTTAAAAGAAAAAAGAATGCGCATCATATAGTAACTGTCACTCACTAGGGTTACTGTAAAGTCTTCATGATCGTCACTTTGTGGTCACTATTATGTGGATCAATGTAACAGCTATTTTAGACATAGAAAAATATCAAACAACAAATCAACAACGAGTGAGTATTTTTTGGTGATGCTGGCTGAAGGATGAATGTTGACTAGGAAACCAAGAAGCTCCCTGAGTTTCTTCCAGATGCCACCGAATCTTTTACATACAAATAACTTGTAGGAAATACATCAAATCCAATATTTCTGCATTCCTTCAGTATTGCACTGAAGTTCACCATAGATGATGTGATCAAGTCCCGAGTTGAACACACAAATTTCTGACAGACAAGAGTGTTATGATCAAGCAAAACCAACAAAAATACGAGCATACAATTGGCTTTTGGAAAAATAGCAGTGTGAAAGGCATTAGAAACCTTATTATGACCCAAAACCAATGGAATTTTGAAGTCATTTGCAAATTTAAATTGGCAAATTGTTAATTGTATTACAACATAAAGCCTGTAACTACTTTTTCTTTAAACATTTTGTTACCTTGATAAGTTCTACGTGATGTAGTCCAAGTCTCATCTGCACCTCTTTTCCACACAAAATATCAGAATGTCAGCAACGTGAAATGCCCGATTGCCACACTGAAAGTCCCATTTTCTGGTAATCAAGTGCATATTATCACTCAATAAATTTGCAATGCTTACATCACAATCAGTAATCCCTCAGTGAGTGTGTCATCCCACCTTAACTGCAGGGAGTATCCTGACTGTCAATGCTTGTTAGGATATTCAAGTGCAGACCTAAAACACCAGAAGTGAAAACTAATAATACTGTCCAAATTGACAGAATTATATCATCCCAACTTGGGGTTCAGATTCTGGTTACAAACTAGCATAACATTTGTCCTGTCATTAAGCTCATGAAAGCTACTTTCTAGCAAGCACCAGTAGTCATCCATTAGTTTTTTATTCTAACTTCTCTGACTAGTAAATGCAATACACCATCAAGTAGGTGATTTAATAATTGTTGCAATTCCACTAGGCAGTAATTTAAACACAGTACTCATTCCTCCTAATTTTACATACTTAAAACACTGCAAAATGTTTCTTTTGCCTTTTCCACATCACCACGACTCAATTATTACCATACCTGACACATAAAATCAAACGTAGGAGCATCCCAGCTAACCCATTGATAGCTCATTATTTCCATGATCTTACAAGGGAAGAAAGGGTGAACAGGGGATCCCAAATCTGCTGCTGGCAAACGTTAGATGTTAACAGGATAGCATAGCACCTACTCAAGACTTAATATAAGATATTAATTATTCCATAAAGACTTCCAATGGAAATGCATGACAAACACAGGTAGACATTTGGATAGGCAACAACAACGACAAAAAAAATGGTTTAAGAAAACCCATCAAGTTTTAGCAGCTTTTTAAGTTGTCTATCGTTCAAGGAGAGAACCCCAAATATAGAATTTATAATTTACTGTTCTTTTTCAGTGTCATAGAGAAAAGTCCCGACTTCTCATTTGGGTGCCATTGGTTTTGGGTGCGATGGTTGAGCAATAAAACCAACCTCATTTTTAAACCCTCAATTTAAGTCTTAAAAGTTATCTGAAAAAGTGTTTCTTAATGCCGTTTTTCACCTGCAGTGTCTCCTCTTCTGCCTCCCTGTTTACCTGGATTGCTTTATTCGGAGATGCCTCCATTGTGATCATTATTTTATTGTGATCTCAGTCAATGGGATCCTTCTTCACTCAACACTCACTCCCTCGCCCCTTTTGTTAGGTTGGTTTCGTTGGTAACAAACGGATCGAACCTTTTTGAAAATCATTGGCCCAGCACGTGCCCCCGCGCGCGTCACAATCGGGAGGGAGGTCAACGTCACCGCAGGGCGGGGCCAGAGGGCGGGACTGGCGGTAAGGGGGCGGAATTTATCCTGTCCATCATCCCTGGATATACCACAAGGGATGGAGAGGGGGAGACATACATCTGTCGCCCTATTTGCGTACAAACTTTTCCCCGATAAGGACAGAGAGAGGAGTTTTCGCACTAAAATCTCAACGTCGCTGCTATTTAATCGCCACCCTTTTCGCCTGTCCGTCTGACTCGTTTAGTTTCTTTTAACCGCTAGAGGGGTGTCCCCTCTCTCTTTTTCACTTGTGGTTAGGCTGCGGGCTGAGCGCGAGGCCTATGGCACTGCGCAGCCTCGGGGCGGCTGGACCTGGATTGGAGTTAGACTGAGGTACGGCGGCACTTCGTTCCCGGAGGAGACGGGCGGGCAGACAGACGGCAAGTCAGGTACCGGAGCCGCTTCTTGGTTTGGGGAAGGTAGGCGTTTGCTGAGCCGGCTGGGGCCTTGCACAGGAGAGTGATGGGGCAGTGTGGAGACCACTCATCCCTTCATCACCACATCTCTCCTCGGTGATGGAGGGCGTGTCTTGGCTCGGCCGTGCACAATCTGCCTTTAGGCTGGGGTGGAGGATGTATGGGGAGAGGTTCGATAGTTCGAATGGCCTGCTTCTACACAGTAGGGATTCTACGATCTAAGTGGGGTAGAGGAAGCCGCATGGTGGGCAGGTTGAGGTGTGGAATGGGGGCGAGTGTGGAGTTGGTGTAAATACCCCGATAGCCTGGGAGCTGGCATGGGGAGGGATGGGATAGAGGGGGCTGATGTACTATATCAGTATTTGCATCTGCATTCACTCAAGAGGAGGTGCTTGGGCGGGGGTGTGGTAATGATGATATTAAGAACATAAATAGCAGCAGGAACAGACCATTGGTCCAAGCTGGTCTTGCCATTCAACAAAATCATGGCTGATCTGTCCCAGGCCTCAACCAGCATTCCTGCAATTTTTCGTGACAACAAGGTGCAAGGCTGGATGAACACAGCAGGCCAAGCAGCATCATAGGAGCAGAGAGGCTGACGTTTCGGGCCTAGACCCTTCATCAGAAAAGGGGGAGGGGAAGGGGGTTTTGAAATAAATAGGGAGAGAGTGGGAGGCGGATAGAAGAGGGATGGAGGAGAGGATAGGTGGAGAAGAAACAAACAGGTCGAAGAGGCGGGGATGGGGCCAGGAAAGGTGAGTGTAGGTAGGGAGTTAGGAAGGGGATAGGTCAGTCCAGGGAGGACGGACAGGTCAAGGGGGCGGGATGAGGTTGGTCGGTAGGAGATGGAGGTGCGGCTTGAGGTGGGAGGAGGGGATAGGTGGGAGGAAGAACAGGTTAGGGAGGCAGGGACGAG